TTGTAGCTGCTGTTTTAGGTCGCTCTTCCCACAACCTGTATAAATTCCTTTTCAGAAAGATTAAAAAAAAAAAAAAAAAGCAAGCTCCACAGCAACTAAAATGAAAATTATCCCACTTTCCAGCAGAGTCTGAAGCAGTGTAGTGAAGAACACAAGATCAGGTCTATCACATCACAGGTTCAAATCAAGTAAGAGCGTTCCCAGGCTTGCTCCAAGACTCCAAATACATAACAGACCCGGCATTTCTGCTGGAGAACCTCTCTCTCCATCCCTTTTTAATTTTTTATAACCATTCTCTGATCTCCAAGATCCTGAGTTGAGCATCCTGAAACCAGGGAGCAGCTGCTGTACACTGCCACAGTTTCCAGCTATAAAGACAGAGTGTAATGCCTGGCTGGCCTGGCCGAGCGAGCCAGAGCGCTGCAGCTGCTCCCCAAAGTCAGGCAGCAAAAAACCTGCTAAAACCTGAGCGGCCCTATTCTTCTCCAGTGCAGCAACCTGACTGTAGAAGAAAGGTAAATGATGCCACAAGCCACTGCTCAGACAAGCCCAGGAAATGCCACACATAAAATTAGCTTGAAGATCATCACTGACTTCCCAGTCTTGCAAAGTCACACATCAGTTTAGCTTCATGCACACGGCAAGTCTCAGTGTAATCTGTGATTATTCACATGTAAAGCTAAGCACGTAAGTGTTTGTGAAACTGGAGATATAATCATTAAATGTAACAGATAATTGATATTTATACTGAGAAGAAAACTGACTTCTGCTAACCTCAGCTATTAAATTACTTCTTCAGTATCGAAAGAATGCAACAGCTAGCTATTGATCACCAGATTCATTACACTTTTATGATAAATTTGAAAGCACAATGCCATTAAGTACAATTCTGTAAACTGTGAGAGGAAGGGGAGGGTGGTGTTTGGATTAAAAAAAACAAAATAAAACACACCAAAACACCAACAAATCCCTCAACCTACCGATCCTAAAAACTTACCAAATGCATGTAACAAACAAAGTGTTTCTCTGCACAATTTGCTAACGGCCTTGGAAGTTTTAGTTATAACTTGAAGTCTGTCTTGTTCGGGATTTACCAGGAGATATTACTGGGAGGTGTGACAGTGTGCTACTGTCTTGCAGACTGCAATCGTCACTGGCAGAACAACAAACTCATCTTGTTTTGGGCAAGACTGACAGAATAGTTTTCTGCTTGCAGCAACTTAGGAGATGCCTCCAGAGACCTCGAGCTACCAAAGCAGAGTGAAGGGCAAGTAGGAAACAGCAAAGGAAGTAACATGCCTTTTGTGTTCTAAAACTCTAAACATTTCATTTACCAACCAGGTAAAGTCAAACAGCTGAATTCCGATTTCCCCATGTTGTTTATTCAAATATATGCTCATCGCTTCACAAAAAGATACCTCATTACTAAAATTCATTTTCTCAGAGAAGGGAAATTACTAAAAAGTAATTTGAGTGAAACCCAAAACATTGTTTTTCCTGATGGATACACACGTGCAGTTTTTCCCTCAGTGGTCTCTGACCTGCCCATCTATTTTCACGAACCTTTCAGGAACATAAGTTGTGTAACGGCACCACCTCCCTTCACCATGCCAACTGATGCAAACTCACCAAAAGAATCAAGAGACGCTGGAGGAAGCGGGGAACCAATGTGAAAAGACTGTGTGAAACTGTACAAACCCAACTTCCGTAATACACCAAGCTAAAATAGGGACTATTTGAGTTTAATACGCAGGATTAATATCCTTTGTTTATTAATTCTTCAGAAATTCAATTTATTCTGCCTACCTATATTGCATGTGTGCATATAAACACAACGGAGAAACTGAAGAAAAAAGAAGAGCTGGAGGTTTTGGCAGCAGCATGGTGACAACTGGGGTTTCTGGCTCCCAAAAAAGTACAGGAGGTTTCATTAGAGATAGTGGAACAGATACAGTAGTGCAGATCCCTAGTCAAGGCCAGGAAACACACTGCCCAAGCTGAAGGGCACAAATTCTTGAAGCCTCTTCCCATGGCCACTGTGGAGCTTAACCGCTGTGTGGCACTGCCCCTCCAGAGGTCACAGGCTACACAGCTCTTCAGCAGCAACACTTTCATTGCTCTAACATTGCAGCCGACTGCAGCAGTGAAATCACCGCATGAAAAGTGGAGAAAGAGAAGCAACGGTCAATGAATAGGGTGGCAAAGAGAATAGAAAGGGAGACCTCCAAATGCAGAAGTAAAACCAGTGCAAAAGCATCTAAAAAAAAAAAGGCCAAACACGAAACAAAGCAATTGAAGATCAAAATTCCTCTTCCACTCCTGCCGTCCGCTAGCTTAGATTTCTGCTCTCCGTTGCCCAAGAGCATTAAAGCATTTCCATGTCTATGGGAGTTAGCTACACGCAGTGTATGTCAAGGCACCTTTCTTATAATCACTGCGTGGATTTTATAGTATTTTGTAAGTAGTTTTCTCTAATCCCACAACGCATAAGCACACTATGAAGTGCTACCATAAAACATGGAACTCTGGTGTGTTAAGGACAACGTCCTCTGACCGCCCCCAGGATGGTAACATTTTTATTTACTCACGTGACTTCTTCTGGAGGGTTACTCATTACTGAGCCTGTAAAATTCCAGCAGAATACAGTAAAGCTGTACACCTTTGGAGACAGTCTAAGAGCTTGTGAGGTTCTTAAAATTGTATTTAACGGTGTAAACCAAATGAATAGCTAAGTCAAGGTCCTGACAGAGCTTTATATGAGGAAATGAGAAGTTTGAGTTTCTCTGGTTTTGGGGTGTTTTCTTCACGAAAAGTAACAGTCCTCCTAGTTACCTTGCCACAGCACACAAAAATACCCTTGTGATTAAGACATTTTTATAGGAAAAAAAAAACAAACCAACAAACCTGCAGTCAGAAAAATTCATTGCTGTTGCCTCAAACGGGCGCTGCTTTGGAATTTCTTAAAAAGCAGCACATGAGATTTCAAACAGCGAAGCTTAAGCGAGCGTTACGCTACCTCATACTCACCCAGCAATAACGACTCCGTCGCAAGAATGCACATCACAAAGAATTTTTCCCAGCTCATACTGCAGCTGGCTCACAGCACCGATGCGGTTCTGCACAGAAAGACGAGACACGGTGTTAGTGCTGCAATACGTTCATCAAACGAGTTCACTTGTGCTTCGTGGAGAACACCGAGCTTTGCTATTGCTCCTGACAAGTTGCAGCGCAGCTCAGAGAGAGGACACATCTATTTTACGCTTCCTGCCTGGAATTTTTACAGATGGAAATGAAGGAGAAAGAAGCTATCGCTCTTCGTTATCATTCATAATCTTTAGGTACAGAAACAACGACCACCACCACCACAACAAAATTGCAGCTTTCTTTTAGCCAGGATATGTCATAAGCAGGGGAAGGAGCCTTCATCTTAAAAGTTGATTCTCATTATCAAGGGATGGCTGAAGTATAAACAGCGCTCTTTCACCAAAGTCAATGGAGGAGCACAGCAAAGAGAAGGACTCGCTCCCAAAAGCAATCAGTCATCGGGGAAAAAAAGGTATTACAGCTAGGGCTAAGTCACATAAATCCTTCAGCAGCTCTCCCCTTTTAACTGGCAAAAAGAAGCTGCAATACAAAAGACCCACTTTTCACTACCACTTGCTTGAAACAGGTTCCCATTTTCCTACAGCATCTGGAACCCATTAAAGAAATTCCCTTTTACCTTCCAGTTGGTTTTCAAGGTGCGTTCTCTGGCACGGCAGTCCTTGAGGACGAGCTTCCAACAGGAGTGATCAGAGATGCTCGTATCTAACAGGTATCCTTCCTGTTGGCACAACCGGTACCACAACACTTCGTCTTCTGCAAGTACTCTCCATGTCCTGCTGACCTAGAAATCAAAATTTTATGTACATATATTAAAAAAAAAAAAAAAGAAAAGCAACTTGTAAGTAAAAATTAGGTACCATATAAAATTATTTAAATAACATCTGAAATATACACACATAAGCCAATACAGGCCTGCATTGAGACTAAATCCTTACCTAAACAGATACATTTGTTCACCCTCTATACTACCGAGAGTACAAAAAAAACCCCAAACCTTGAACAAAAATGCTTGTTTCCTGTGGTTTCTTTTGAAAACAACTGAGTTTCTGCTCCACTAAAACTCCATGCAACATGGACATCAGTGTTTAGTGGCCACACTGCCAACCTGAAATATCAATTCATCAAATTTTGAAGGGAAATGAAGCAAGAAAACAATTAAGATGGTATTGTAAGTTTAGAGCTAAAATATGAATTTATTTTCATATTTGTGGCTAAGAACACCTCACAGATCACACCATCATATCTCTAAAGTCCTACTGACAATGCCTGATTAGGTGTACGACATTAGCCATTTATAACCTATTGTATTACAGTATGCATAAATAGGAATTAATTATTAAGTTTTTCAAGTAGCCTCAAGTTGCTGTCCATTTCAGAGAGAACAGCTTCATCATAATCCATTGTGAGCTTTGAATTAAAGATTCAAGAGGTAAGAGCCAACTTAAGTAGCATTTGTCCTCCGTAATTCTTAATTTAAAAAAACAGATGTAACCAATGAAAACTGCTACTGGTGAAAGCAGCAATCAACTGTACGCCGTTTCCAAAAGATTAAAAAAAAACCTTCTTAGACTGACATCATTTTTAGCAACTTACAATTAAGCATCTAATGTCCATTTCAGACCCAAGATTACACCAAGAATCTAGGCCTCCCATCGATACAAACTCTCACAGGACCATCTCTTCGTGTTTCCTTGCCATTCGTCCCACGTTTACACGCAGACTCAACAGGGCACTGGGAGGTGAAAGATGAACTATTACTTGTTCTCCATTTGGTAATCCATCTCCTTTGTATTTTATCATTACCATGCACACCTTGCTTCAAACTGCTTAAAATCACAGCTTTCAAACAGAAAGTATAGCTTTGCAAAATTATGTATCATGAGGAACACTGAAAGTACGAGATCCTTTCGGCTGGTACAGATCTGCAACGAGTCCACGCAGCACACAAGCCACCGGAGCAACAAAGCACGCAGCGAGGCTTACAGAGGGGTTGGGAAATCAACCCAGGCACTTACAGAAATCAAGCAATCTCGGAGTTTGTAACGTGACCTGTGAAGTTTTACACGCGATGGCCCGGCAGGCCGTGCTTCCTCTGCCATATTCAGTGCAGCACCAGGCCAAGACTGACCAGCCGGCCCAAGCAAACCCCCCAGCATCGCAGGGAGATAGCAGCTAAGGTCCAGGAAGCACTCATCAACAAGACCCTGTGTCCTACCAGTCTCCTTGGGTCACAGTAAGTGCAAAACCACCTTACACACACGGTCCCAAACCTCCTTGCACACCACACAGTCCCCAAACAGTGGGACAGCATAGATCTCCCCTTAAAAACTTTATGAAGCTTCTAGCCATTTTGTTTACATTGTGTTGCCTGTTGGTCTTGCTGTAAAGACACACACGTATCATTACTGCTCTCAAAAACCAACATCCCAGCAGAGAATTTTGAATTTTCGAATCTTTTGAATTGCACAAGATGCTTCTCGTGACCTGTTTCTTCCAAGGGAAGAAGAAAGAAAAAAATAATATGAGAGAAAAAAGGCAGGTGGACGAAGCAACCTGCATATGTTTTTAAGATTTGATACCTACATATAAGAGCAGCTCTCAAACAGGAATATCCAAAGTCCAGCAGAGCTAAATTCTAGTTATTCACCAAAAGACCTCAATTCAAACCAGCAGACATACAATCCCCTTCCATCACCAGACAAAGAAAACAACCTGGATGGGGCAATCACAAATGCCTTCCAAAGGACAAAAACAGCACTGAGCCTTCTCTAGCATTATACATCATCCTGTAACAAAAAAGCAGTGCTTAATGCTCCCGTCCCTATAGGGACACACTCAGAAAGTGCAAAAACAGAAAAAAAAAAAAAAAAAAAAAGGCAATCCAAATTTCAAACCATTAGTTTATTGGGGAATGTGCTCTCAATTTGATTTTTAAGTAACATAAATCCATATATTGTTGCTCAAAGAAAAAAAAACCAAACAAAAAACAAACCAAACCACCCAGCTTTTTGCTGACACACAAAAAAAGCAGCTGTTCTGCAGGAGCTGAGCCCCCGGCCAAGCCCGGTCGACAGTAACGGCACCTCTGCCCCCCTCCCGTAACAGCAGCACGTTTCTGCTGACATTGAGGGGACAGGCTAATGCACAAGCAGAAGTAAACAAAGCCAAACTACGCCAACTTTTGCCTGGCTTTTAAAAAAAGGAAAGAAAAACACACACGTTTGGAGTTTGCCAAAATAGACAATGCTGTACAGACCTTTCTAGTTTCAAGGTCTTAAAAACATTTTATAAAGACAGTTAAAAAAAAAAAAGGGGGGGGACACTACATAAAATCTAGATTGCCTTCTCAACTTTCGGCAACAAACATTCAAGGGGAATAGAGATCCTATCCTATTATGATTTTTTAAATCAAATTACATCAAATCCTGCTGCTTTACAAGCATGAATTTCCAAAGGGTCCCTAACGCAGTCTTTCCTTAATGCACCAAAACTGGCATGACAATCCCTTGTAAAAGCCCCACTGAGCAAGCCTCAGCTGCAAGAAATCTCTAATAAAAGCGTCTCAAGCATTTCACTTTACAGCACCACTGTGAGCTGCCGCATTAAAACCAGCCATTGGCTTGAAGTCAGCTTTATTAGATCTGCCTGACTTCGAGTTTCAGGTGAGGCCCCAAAAGCCAGAGCATTACGGCTTTATTTATACACACCCGTACGTTCTGCTTGTTGGAGAGGAGCTGAGACGTGCAAAGCTCTTATTAAACTACGAACACAATTATTTCCAAATCTACACTACATAGAAACTCCAACAACGATCAATGACAACATCTTACAGAGCTGTTTATAGATTTAGAGTCTCCAATTTAATTTTGTCTTTAGTGTTCCTGTTATCTTTTTACTACAGTTCTCAACTCTTCTCAGCAAAGAAACTTTGGTTTCCCCTGAGCTCCACACAGGAACAGTTTTATATCTCACAGTTCAGCAAGTAATAATGTTCTGAAGGACTTCAAAGGCTTTCGCTGACAGGTTTTGCTATTTGGTTTTGCCTTTGGGGAATTTAAAAAAAAAAAAAAAAAAATCCTAAAAAAACCCCAACCATCTCTTCCATCAAATCCTAAATTTCTTCTAATCCTACCTAAACCAACTGGCTCAAATCCTAATGAAGGTTTATTCATCCCTCTCCATCTGATAACTGTCTTTGTTTCATTAGGTTTATTTTCTTCCCGAGACACACAAAGACACAGTCAAAGTTCATTCGCTGAAGCCAGGGGCCTCAATTAGAAATATCTGGACTTTCAATTCAGTGCAATACGTAGTGCCAAACAGCATTTAATCCAAAGCCATTCAGATGGAAGCCATAGCAGGTGGAAGCTGTTCATCTTTTCAATTCGCAGCCATAATGTTATTTTAAGTCTCATCCTGAACCCAGGATATCCATATCCACCCGTTTCTCTGCTCTCTCTCTAAATTACGAGGAGGATAGATGATAACTTTTACCCATACACAACCTCGACATAAAAGTATGCTCAAAAAAACACACGAGGTTTTCTTTTTTTAAATGTATGAACACTAAAAGCCTAACAGTTTGACAATTCCAGAAGCTCTAGAGGCAAGTATCTGAAATTCTTTCTTTATGCTAGATAATTCATTCTTAAATTCCTAGAAACAGTCTCCCTTGTCCTAGATACATACACAACCGTTGCGTTGGTAAACATTTCTAAACCACCCCTCAGACGAAAACGCTAACAGCTCAAGGCAATTCCCCGCTGATCCCTTCAGAAATAAATCTGCCTCAGCATTGCCAAAATCCAGTACAGGCTTTCGAGCAGTATTTCACGTCACAAAACGCAATTTATGCAGTCTCTGGTATTTCCTAGAAAGCAGCAGTAACAACCCTAAGTATACGGAGAGATTCATAGGGGAGACACACCACCTTGTCACAAAGTGCGTTTCAAGGCCAGCTCCTCGGGCCACCAGTGACGTCAACCGCAGGTACCTGCACTATCGGCCCCAAACAACACAAGAACTTTTGAACACATTTCTATTTGTCACACTCGCGGTGTCCCAAGTGACTGTTTTTCTTTCCCCTTTACATCACGACCAGAAGGAAGGACTGACTGTTCCCAAACCCGCTCATCACAGAAGTGACAAGAGAGCTGCTCAGAGCACAGATGTTTCTTTCAGTGGTCAGAACAGAATCAAAAGGTGCTCCCAGAGCTGGCACAAAGCAGAGGGAAAATTTTGCCATTACTCTGGACTGTTCTGCTGCCACATTAAGTCCTGGATACCATCCTCCCTGAATTATAAACATGGGATATCAACAGGGACTGGTTCTGCTGGATGCTACTGAATATTGCACAACTACTGCAAACCCACCAGAGCTCAGGAACTGATGACACCATTAATTTACAGGCTGCACATGGCTTCTGTATTTCATGTGCCATACAGATAGTTTGTGTTTCATAGTACTAATTCCAAAAATCAAAGAAAAGCTGCGGGGAAGAGGGGGAGGGAGGAATATCAGGGTGATATTGAAGTTCTCCAGAGCAGACTGTGGCATGATTAAATCTCAAAGAGGCTCCACAGTCAGGCTACTTTACTGTTAGTCGGTTACCAATTTGGCATAAAGAACTAAGCAAACAGGTTTTCTCCAAAGGCACTCACGTAGTTCATGATGCCAATCCACTAACTGGCCCAATTTCACTAAAATCCCAAGGCGCCTTAATAAAAAAAAAAAAAAAACCTTTCTACGGTAACACTGTAAAGCAGCAGGGCTTTCCATTTAACAGAAGAGGGCTTCCCCCCCTTCAAAAACAAAATCACCAAGAGAAAAATGAAAATGGTATTTATTTTTATTGCTTTGCTTTTTATTGGAACGCTTAAAAAGAAGCCAGCTCTGCACTAAAAGCATTGGATATTCATCTCATTCGGAAAGCCTTGTAAAACCCCTGGCATTTGCTCAGCTACCTGTCTGCTGCCACGTAGGACCAACTGACTCACGAGAAGGCAAATGAGAAATGTGGAAAATTTTCTCAGTGTTAAAGCACCCCTTATGAGAACAGGTTCAAGTTAAAACCAAAGTGAGCGAGAGAGAAATCAAGTGCAGCCCAAGCACAGAGAAAAGGAGCAGCCCTTCATCAGCCAATCTTTTTACTATGCTGTGAGGTAAACTGATCATACCTAAGGGGACGTGGGGGGGAAGAGAGAGAGAGAAAGAAAGAACAAACGAACAACCTTAAAGTAATCCACTTCACAAATGCAACCCTGTTCTGTTTCATGGGATGTGGCCTTTACTGATCACGTATCTCTACCTCAAACGACAGAAACTCGGGCGTACCTGGAAACTTCACAGTCTCCTCGACACCATCAAAAAATAATCCTAGAGTTTTTTCCTCTGCAAGAGAAGCCCTGCTAGAGGAATTATTTTTCTTCGAACAGTCCTTGTTCCTAAAAGGCATTAGCAAGTCAAAGATCGAAGCAACAACCACCTGTAGCTATTTAACACTATGACTTGCTCATACTGAACCTTACAAGCCCAATTTCATTTCAATGCATGTGCCATTTGGACAAGACTTGTGTCTAGTTCACTACCCACAACAAAGCTATACCCTGTCTGTCACTTTTCAATTTCTACATGTTAACATTTCTTTCTCTTACAAGCAGCCCAGGGCACCGTTCAAAGACAACACAAAGAACCGTTTTGCTGGGATTTTTGTGAAGTTGCAAGACGTGCTTTGTACAGAAGAGTTCAAGAACACCAGCCTGAAACACTAAACAGTGGCCATGGGAGAAGCTGGCAACGAATATCCACAGTATTCTACTCTATTCACAGGGTAATCAGCACTTGCCAATTAAGTTTGCTTTGAAGACTCATTCAGAGAGGAGGTTCATCATTCAACATGTGAAGATGGGAGATAAAGAGGCTCAATAGCGTGGGCTGAACAACCCTAAGTACAGTCAGGTGCGTACAAGTGTTTAAGTTAGTAAAGTACTTGACTAGACAGGCAGTTTACAACTACACATAAATTACGGACCATGTCTGAGTACAGCCTGGTGAAAGCATTATCTTAAAGTATTACCAAAGAAAAATACAAACCCCTTGCGGGGCAGGGAAGGAAATCAGTGTCACGTAAGAATTTAGCCTCACGTGAAACTGCTACAGACAAAGAATTACTACTCCAATTTCTATGTTCCAAGTCACATACCGAAAAGTGGGAGGAACAGCTTTGTTGCCATGCCCCACTGCAAACTGCTGAGCTCTAAATACTCCAGCAAGACACTCACTTGTTTCTAAATACATTCACGTGAGTCAAAAGATCTTTGCTAGTATTTATTTTAAATTTTAAGGCTTCACTTCTGTCCAAGCCACAAATGTTTTATTTAACTCAACCACAAGCTATAAATCCAGCTCGTTTACTATAATTTTTTCACTATTCAGCTTTGGAGGTTATTTCCAATAGATAAAAGCATGCTCAGGTGAGCTACTACGGCTAGCATACCTCTTCCCTGCATCCAGGTGCCCGGCTGTTTCTTGAATATTTCTGCCAATTTTACGTGGCACCAGAGCAGCACTTACCTGAGCACACCTTCCCAATTCAGTCTTGCCCAGGTACTGAAATATCTTCAGTGCCAGTTCATAAGGCAGTTGGATGTCAAAGAAAGGAACCTCATTTATTTCATTCTGAAAAGAAAAAAAGAAGAAAACACTTTGTTAGGCTTTTTTAATGCACAGCTAGATAGTAGCAAAAGTTACCATAGCATGCAGAAAGGATGTCGTATCCTCAGCACCAGCACAGTCCCATAAGAAGGGCAGAAGTAATTCTGCCTCTCCCTCCCCTAATGGCACAGCATCAGAGACACCACACTGGCATGAAGGTACCGGAGCTACTCTTTGTTCTCGCCGAGTCCTAACAGATAAAGAATAACAGAAGGCTAAGTGGAGCTAAAGAGCGAGTTGAGGAGAACTGTAAAGCTTACCTATACTCAGATAGCACAGAAAGGGAAGACACAAGTTCTAGTAAAAAAGTTTCTCTGAGGTTTCAGCATCAAAAAGACCACACAAGTAAGCGCTTCAAAGACATATCCCCACTATTAATTTCACTTACCGGATTTCAAACACAGATGAGGGAAAATTAAAAAAATCTTGATATTAAACTGGAGATGTTACAGTTTGTTTCTGTCTTTCATTAGTAACACATAAACGTCTTTTTAATACGAAATGTGCCGAAAGAGTTGCTGCTTTAACTGATTAAGTATCTCCAAAAAAGAAAATCTAAAACCAAAGGATCCATCGTTAATCTAACAGCTAAACGCAGCACATACACTTTTCCTAGATTCTTGGTTTTATTTGTTTTAACTACATGATTATTAAATGTTCTTCCTGCAGTTATCACATCAAGATTTGTCCTCTCCCTCATTTCTAACTGGAAATTCCAAATTTTTATGCTATATAACAGAGAGAGCGCAAAACCAGCCCATTCTGACCATTTCTGTGTCACCCATTTTGAAATTTTGCTTTCTAGTGTTTTTTTCTGATTTCTGTACCCCCCCCAGGTGCTCCCAGACACCTGATCGCTCTCCATCAATTCCCATGCACAAAATCAGCTGCTCAGCTGAAACCTATCTCCATTGTTTGCCATCAGAAAGTCAGGCAGATCCCAAATCAGGATCATCCCCTGTCTCTTAGCAGCTCTCTAGCCCCGATACCTTTGTTCCTTGGTAGGTCTCTTCTACAATTACTCCTTGCTCATTTGAGCCTGGACCCTTTGCAGCACCAATGAAGTAGCACAAATAGGCAACGCTGGGTTTACTTACAGTACAGTTACACAGAAAAACCATTGTATAATATGGTTGCGTGGAAGTTTTTAATGCAAAAGCGTTCTAATAATAATTGCTTAGACAGCACAAATATGGGCAACGCTCCCATTAGGTCTTTTTAGCAAAACAGACCCAGTTTATAAACACTGGAACCTCGTGCTCATTCTAAAGTTACTTCAGCTAGGACCTGCAGCCAACCTTCCTGCTCCCCTCCCTCCCTGTCCACAATTTTCCTGCCACGAGCAGCTCCTTTTCCTTTCCCCTGCACGAGGACCACTGGCTCCACTCCCTGCTGTGGATCTGCAAGAAGATTGTTTGCTTTCACATGATTTTAAACTGTACCTATTTCCAAAGGGGACACCACAGAAAAAAATATAAAAGGAACTCTGAGAGCGCATCTCCACGGCCACACGCAAGCAGACCCAGAGCTGGCCAGATGTGAACCAGCTCGGATCCAGGAGCCACATAACCACTTGAGAGCAACGCGTTGCCCAAACAAGTAAGATGAGCCATTCGGCAAGGCTTATTAGCTCTGGGCTTATGAGCTCAGGCACGGCATCACTGTGAATATATTGCTTCCAAATTGGAGTTGACTCATGTCCAACCAGCAGAACCTGGTCCGTCTGCACGTACCCAAAGGTATCATCAGTAGGACAGACTGCCTACAGACAGACCGGTACAGACACAACAGTCAAGACCGACAACTCTCACATAAAAATGGGGGGTGTGGGGAGGAGAAAGAACTGGTACACAGATTTTTTTAAAAACTAACCTGCAAGAGGATTTATAGCCAAATAGCACGACCTTGCACAAAGCACCAGCTCATGCTAATTCCGTTCTAATGCAACCTTAATGTCAGAGGCAGATCAAGGTCTCCCCTTCCTACATCCCCAAAAAATTCAGGCAGCTTGTCTTCAGCACAGTGCTCACCGCTGCAAACGAAGCGGTGATGTAAAGTCAGCACCAGCCTGTCTAAAAGTCTACTGGAATGAATCCAAAACTCAAATACTACCATCCCCTCCGAGACAGATTTGGGCTCCTGTGTGCTAATGGAGCACTAATTCTGTAAATGGATTAATTTGTGCCTTGCAGACAGAAATTTAATCAGTTCCTTTTAATTTTTTTAAGCAAAGAGTAATTAGTCACACTTAGGTTAGTGAGAAGCAAGAAAATGGGTTTCCCCCCTAGTTTTCCTACACTGTAAATAAAATCTCTATTGCATTTAGAGGATTTACCAAAATAACTTTTATCTGGTTCAGAACTGTATTTAAGACGATTTCCAAATTAACTCCTCTACTTAAAGAATTAGTACTTGTTTTCTTACTACACTGCTGTGTCACGAGCAAGGCAGGATACCCTCAATTACTGCACCTGCATTAAATAGCCCGAATAAGCAACAACACCTTTTTTTAAGAGGGAAAAAAATTGCACCTTGTACGAAAAAAAAAGCAGATTTTGGATGGTTAAAACCTTGCAAGACAAGATCTATTCAGGAACTGAGTTATAACCAAGCTCACAGGAACCCAAAACCCAGCGTCCCCCTTTCTCGCCCCGTCCCAGAGCCGAGGCGCAGACGGGCCCTGCTCCCCGCTCTCG